ACTATATATACAATTTAGATTTTTATTTATATTTTATCATTCATATATTTATTATTATATTAATAAATTATTATAATATATAGACATATAATTTATTAAAGTAAAATATAATAGAATCACAAGTATCTATAATTTACAAAATTATTAACAAACAATCTAATAATTAATAACTAATAATTACCTAAACAATATCTTTTACACCTCGTATTTCTTAAAAACCAAAACATCACATTCAAAAATAATAACCCTAATCCTACACATATTTCCTATAACATATTCGATATTATTTTGAATAAAATCAATATTTTTATGCATACTTCCAATAGCAATCAATTATTTTTTTATTCATTTATATTTAAGTTTCATCTAACAATTATTTTCTGTTAACACTTGAATTATTTTTATTACAAATCTCAATTTTTTTTTCTTCACAGACGTGAATTTAATTTTGATCGTGGTTACCTTAATCGAAAAGATTAATGGTTTTTCGAGTGGTGCACCATTAAAAACTTGCATCGATTTGACACCTAAACACAGTGGTGGCCAAATACAAACTTCGTATCCACCTTATCAAGTATTACCGGCCGCAGGACAGGGCAGAGTTCGGCTTATTCTTGGAAGCCCTCAAGGACTTGCTTATCAAGGTTTCTTCATCCTTGCTAGAGACGTTGAAAGTGGTGAATTGATTGGCGAGTTCAGCAACTTGCCTGATAATGCTAAATTTGTTGAATGTACAACTGGTGTTAACGTACGTATACAATAATTATTCATTACGAATCTTTCTGGATTTAATATTGTTAGAAATATATTTTGATTTTTCATTTATTAACTTTATGGGATATTTTATTTGGATGTTTGATTTTACAGAACGCTGTAACGCATACTAGTAAAGAAAAAAAACATAATTTAGAATTCGATTGGATCGCACCGCCACAGTATGAGGGTACCATTATATTTAAGTAAGTTTGTAAATATTCCGAATTTTTTTTTAATATTTTAAACATTCAGTTCGTATAAAATATGATGGAAAATGTTTGAAATAACTAAGTTATTGTTTATAAATTTTTCATAGCAAATGATCTTTAATTCGATTGCATTGCACTACTTCAGTATGAGGGTACCATTATATTTATAAATAAATTTGCAAATAATATTCAGAATTTTTGTTAACATTTTAAACATTCAGTTCGTATAAAATATGATTATTTATATTACACATTGTTTTTATCAAAAATGTTTGAAATAGTTTTAGTTATCTTTTATGATTTCGAGTTTTATTTTATTGCACTGTCTCAATCTGTGGGTACCATTAGATTTAACTAAGTTTGCTAATATTATTTCAAATTTTTGTAACATTTTCTTTAGTTCGTATAAATTATGATATTTTTTGTTTACCAACAATGTTTGAAATAATTTAGTTATTGTTTATGATCTCGAATTCAATTGCATTGCATTAGCTCAGTATAAAGGTATCATTACATTTAATTAAGTTTCCAAATATTTTTCATATTGATATTTTGTTTAGATCATTATTATAATTACTTATATTACACATTATGTTAATGATAAATATTTGCAATAGTTTAATTATTTTTTATGATCCTGAATTCAATTCAATTTCACTGTCACAGTATACCATTAAATTTAACTACCAAAAAGTTTTCTATATATATAAAATATTATTTAGAATATTTAATGAAATTTCGTTTAAATTATTAATATAATTATTTATATTACACATCATATTTTTTGATGAAAAATATTTGCAATAGTTTAATTATCTTTTATGATCCTGAATTCAATTGAATTTCACTGTCACAGTATATCATTAAATTGAACTACCAATAAGTTTTCTAAAATATTATTTAGAATATTAAATAAAATTTCGTTTAAATCATAAATTATAATTACACATATAATTTTCATTGAAAAATATTTGAAATAGTTTAATGATCGTATAGAATATTCTCGTGGTAAATGAGTCACACTTGTTACGTCGTACTATCTCTTGATATTCAAGAGGACATACTTGGAAGGAATGTGTTAAACGTCAATGGTATATCACGATATACCACATAAATCCATATTCAACGATTTCGGTATTTCCCATCTTCTCTGTCAGCTGATTAACGTCATTTAAATTGCTTTCTGCGATAGTTCTACATTCGCTCAGGATTACGCCACGTATTGGGTTGGTGTTGAGTCACCGAAGGTTACTGTTCTTAAACGATCCATCGATGTTTTAACATCGTCGACATCCTCAACGACCTTGAGAACAACCACACCACCATATTATAATCCAAGGGACGACGAAAAGGTTAGGGTCCTTTTTATTTTATTTTCTTTTTCCAATCACTTGCTATCGAATCTCAATTCATTCAAAAAATATTTTATTATTTTTATATACGAAATATATTTATCGTTAAATATTATTTCAGCATTAACACTATAGATTTATGGGGATGTTTTGTTAGTTAATTTTTTTTTAATTATTTATTAACATTGTTTAAACTCTAATGGTTAAATAAAAGGAAGGAAGGAATATATTTCATTACATAATTACAAAATTAACACATGTATTTAAACAATAATATTTAAGTTTGATATATGTATACATATATATATTAATCAATTTTTTAATGAATCAAATTAGCTCGTTGTTAGTTCGTAAAAAATCTAATATTAATAATAATTACTTAATTAATATTTACGATATAAAAATAACAACAATAACACAGATTAAACTTTAATACAAATAATTTGAAGTAATTAAATATTTAATGAGTCTAATTGGCTCGTTGTCAGTTCGCAAAAAATCTAATATTAATAATAATTAATTAATTAATATTTACAATATAAAAATAACAACAATAACACAGATTAAACTTTAATACAAATAATTTGAAGTAATTAAATATTTAATGAGTCAAATT